GGTCGGAACCGACTCGAAGGCACTTAACAACAAGGACTGCTAAAGCACCGGGACCTGTGGCCCAGCCATGTAGACAGAGCCATCCCTATGCCGGAACTCCTGAGGTCGCCCCTCCTCACGTGGTCCATCTCTCCTCCTCTCCTGAAGGTTACCTTGGTGTCATCAGAATGATCTCTCTGTAGTAAGATTAGCGCCTTAATTGCCATGGCACATGTGTCTGGGGACATCTTAGGGGACCCGCGTGTCTGCCCGCCCTCTCCCTTGTTGTCCCCGGGCCCATTAGAACACCAGGGCTGACTGTGCTGAGTGTGGGGTGTGGTGGGCATTGGCGCTCCTGACTGGCTAGTCCGAGCTCTGCTCTGCTCCAGTGAATGAGAGCCACCCTGGCTGTAATCGGTTGTCAGCGTGCTTAGTTACCGTTGGTTCTGACTCATGTGTAACAGAACCACCGTCAGCATGTTTGAGGCTGTTGCTGAGGTCATGGTGTCAGCCTCTCTCCTGGACATCTCCCTCGCTTCTCCGACCGTCCACTTACCAAACACCTCTTCTACTGCTTGGTCTCCCCAATGTTGTGTCCAGCATAAGCAAGCCAGAGCTTCCTTCCCTGCTCCTTAGAGCGTTCTGTGTGCATTCCATCTGAGACTTGCTCATCCTTCTGGTAGGCCAAAGCCTATTACTACCCAGCTGTGTCCAAGTCATTACAGCCCACTAGGACAGGGAAGCACTGCCCCATGGGGTCCAAGGCTGCAGGATTTACAGAAGCAGACTGCTACATCTTCCTTCAGCAGAGCCACCGCTGGGTCCAAACTGCCGCCCTTTCTGTTAGCAGCTGCGCACTTAACCACTGCACCAAAACCCAAACTCACTGCCTCTGAGTGGATTCCGACTCCCTGTGACCTTGTAAGACAGAGCAGAACTGCCCCCTGGGGTTTCTGAGGCTGCATCTTACAGGAGCAGCCTGCCACATCTTTCTTCTGCCGGTGGGTTTGATCAACAAGTGAGCGTTTAACCACTGTGCCCCCGGGCTCGTTTGGCAGTCCATAGTACAGTCAGTGTTTTCCTCAACACCACACTCTGAGTGTGTCTGTTCATCTGTCTGATCTTTGATTGTCCAGCTTTTGCATATATATGAGAAGCCAGGTGGGCAGTGAGGGGCTGCTGGGCAGAGTCCCTGCCGTGGCTTGGCCCCCCTTCCACACTCGCCAAACGCCCCCACCCCCTTTCTTTAACCGTAGGGGGGTCCTGGAAGGCAGCCCTCCTGCCTGGGAACAGAAGCCCACAGACTTTATGCTGCTTATCAAGACCACACAGCTGCTTGGCTCCATTCCATAGCCACCTGACTCAGGACTCTGCCCCTCCCCGGGACCAGCTTCCCTGCGCTCCCCAGATACAGCCCTGCATCACCTGCTGTCTCCTGTCATGGCTGTTCCTTTAGCTGCTGTTGAGATGTAGGCTGTGGGCCCCTGTGCCCTCTCCCACCCCGCAGAGTAGGGCAGCTCCAGGAAACAGCTTGGGCCCTTTTCCCAGATCTACATGTAAATGTAAATACCCTGCCGTGACACTGCAGGAGAAGCACAGGACAGCAAAGTCGGCGGTTTAAACCCACCAGCTGCTCCTCAGAAATCCAATACAGGTTCCAACACTGTGAGTTGGAACTGATTTGATGATACTTAAGAAGCAGAGGAAGAACGTTTTATGTTTACATCCCGACCTATTCCCTCACAAACGCTGCTCTGAAAGGCGGGAGCCCTTCCTCCGTTCTGAGGAGACTCCTCCTGGGTGTTGCTCCTACAGTTCCGATGTGCGTACATCAGGGGATGCGCTCGGTCACCTTCCAGCCAGCCAACTTCTGATTTATTTTATGTGCATATTAAACACCAAACGACACTTGATGAGTTCATAAAACGTCGCCTTTCAGCTCCGGTGCTCATCTGAGTGGTAACTGAGCTTCACGCTCCTTTCTGGGTGGACTCAGGAAGGACGAGTGTCTAGAGTGCTCCTGTCCTGGCCTGTCCCTGGGGCCTCCACCGGGAGACAGTCATGGATCAAATCCTCAAGCTCTGAGACACCTGCGTTTCTTAATTGTGTTCCTTTCTCCCTCAGGACAACTACACCTTTGCCCAACCTGGGATTCAAATGAAAGTGAAAATGCTGGAAGAACTTGTGAGCAGGATTGATGGTGAGCCGGCTGCCCCCGACCCTCAGCTAGGTCACGGGGGGTGGGGGGTGGAGGAGGGTGCTTTGTGGGAAGCTCTGAGGGCAGCTTCCCACTCTCGCCTTGTCAGGATGCCCCTTCCGAGGGAGGGCCAGCCCGATGGGTGTCAAGAACCAGGCAGCTCGGGAGCTGCTGTCGCCTCTGCTCCGGCACCATTCCCCACCTTGCGCAGCATCATTTCTCTGTGGAATCCAGTTAACAACAAGGCCAGAAATCACACCCTTCACATTTTAGAGCAGCGATGGATGTGTGCCTGGGCCGTTTCCCATAGTGCTTCAAAACACTGTTGCCTTCGTCCTTAAAGTCATTCTCCCTTACAACAGCAGAGTTCATTAAATGGAAGTGGAGAGATAGCTGCTCATTTCAAGCATATTCTCCTGATAGTTCACTAAATGAATGAACGGAGCAGTAACTCAGCGTTTCCAAGTAGGACCAGGCATTTGTCACACTAGCCGGTCAGCGATGAGGTACGGCAGGGAGAGGCTCCCATACACCCTGGCAGGCGGGCCGGGCCCCTGACTGCTCTGAGAGAGTGTCCTTTGTGGAAAACGTGGGCCTGGCAACAAGCATCCCAGAGCACCCCTTTCTGAGTCTTTGCCGGTGCCTCGGTCTCCCCTCCACAGCTAACTGCTGCTGTTCGGTGCTGTCCAGTTGGTTCTGACTCATAGTGACCCTGTGTAGGGCTTCCAAGAAGCAGCTGATGGGTTTGAACCCCCGACCTGGTGGTTCTCAGCCAAGTGCTGATCCTACGGTGTCACACCAGTGCCGCCAGCTGCAGAGAACTGTAAAAGGGAATGTCACTGGAACAACACTTGGTTTTGGAAAATCCTGAAGGGCAATGTGAAGCGGAAGCTTACACGTTGGAAACTCCATTTGGTTTCTTGATTGAATGTGATTTTCAGCTACGTGTCTAATGGTTATTACCTCATTTCCATGTTATGAAGTTTGCCTCCGTTCTTCCAATAATTCTTTATTGGATTCCGTGTTAGACGCAGCTGCTGCTCGGCCCACCCATCCCAAACAGCGCTCTTGCCTGCTGAAGTGTGTTGGTGTGTATCATTGTGAGCGTCGTGGCCAGGCCTCTTGTCCAGAGTGGTGGGTTCCCCGACCAGCTGAAGTGTGTTGGTGTGTATCATTGCGAACGTCATGGCCAGGCCTCTTGTCCAGAGTGGTGGGTTCCCTGACCAGCAGTTTGAGCAGTGCTCCCTGCTTCGTTTAGCTCCTGGAAGTACGGCTCAGAGGAGATGTGAATGACACCTCCGAGCTGTTCTTCCTGGTCCCTGTGGCCTGTAGCAGGCATCAGACCCTCTAGGACATTGTGGGGAGTGTGTATTTGTACCGGCGCCACAGCTGGGAAGATACCAGAATTGATTGTCTGCTGTGCCATGGCCCCAAAAGAAGTGCACAGCCAGTCTGCTGGATGACTTGTCAGCAAAGCTCTTGTCTCCTCAGCGCTGCTTTGTCTGTGGGTCTGTCTGCTCTCCATACCCAGAGAAGACTTCTAGGGGGGAGGTTAAGTGGTGGAACCTGTTGGCTACTGTTGTCCTGATGAACCCCTAAATCAAGACTTTCTGGGGAGCCTCACCATGAGAAAGGCTTTTCTAGTCGAACATGTTCAGAGTTTACATGCTCTGGGCTCGCTGTGACTGATGGGGCCATCTGCCTTCAGAATCCCCCTGAGAGCCGTGTGTGTGTGGGGGCCCACTCCCCATTCCCAATTCATCACTCACCTCTTGCAGGAAAAAACCCCGTGAGCTTGGAACTTTTGCAGTGACTGTAAAGATTTGATTAAGAGAAGGATATGCTGGGAAGAGAAGGATATGCTGGCTTGTTATTAAAGTTCTTGCCTCCTTCGGAGTTTTGGGGCCACGATGGGATGGATTCCAGGCCGTGCCTGCTCTCTGGTCAGGCAATGGTGTGGAAAGTGGCGGGGCAGCACCGCAGTGTAAAGGAGCCGGAGAGTTCTGGGGTCAGGATGGAAGGGACGTCCTGTGGGACAGAAGGCAGTACAGCAAGGCGGGAGAAGAGAAGAGCCAAGGAGGCAGCCACTGGCCTGGTGGTCTGCTGTGAGGAGTCTCGGACATTTTGTTGTGAGCTGGGTGAAGGGTTACAGAACAGAGCCGGTTAACTTTCCACCTTTGACCCACACTCTGTTCCAGCTCACTGATTGCAGTCCCCACTGTGGAACGTCAGTCCCCACCTCCTTCCTTCCTCCCTGTGTTTCCTGTTTCCCTTCCTGCTCCTTTCCTCACTCTGCCTCACTGTGTCCTGGGGCTGTGCCGCCCTTTTGATCTCAGATGGCTGATGATTCTCCGGTAAATGTAACCTCCCCAGTGTCATTGTGCCCTCACCTCACTGTGAAGTGCAGTCAAGTTGGTTCTGACACCGTGTGCGCATAGGGTTTTTGAGGAGCGACTGGTGGGTTTGAACTGCTAACCTTGTGGATAGCAACCATTCCCCTTTCAGACCCGTTTATTTTTGCTTGAAAATTGAACCCCAGGGTTGAGTTTATTTCCAGACTTGAATGATGACTAAGGGCCATCGTCTTGGGGGCCCCACCAGTGAGCCCATGGTTTTGATTTTGAGTTTTGCTTCACATTTTTCTCTCACGCTATCCAGGACCTGTCCGAGTGCTTGGTGGCAGTGTCTGGGCCCTGTCTAGCGCTTCTGGGCTCAGGGGCATGGAGACTGATGCTGCTGTGGTCCTTACGTCCATTGGATGAGTTGTTCCAGGCATCATGCTTTTCTTCACTAGGCTTTGCTCTGGACAGGGAGAAACCCGTAGTTGCACCTTAGATGACCACTGGTGACCTTTGAAGACCTGAGTTGCTACAGTAAGCAGTGAAGAATTTCTTAGAAGCACTTTCCTCCTTTGACCAATGCTGTACCTTTCTTGTGGGCAACCAGACCTGTAGTAAAAATCTCTTATGTAGACATGAAGAGGCCAAGGTACCGGAGTGAAGAAAGAGCGCTGTAGCCGCGGCCGAAGCCACACTGAAAGGAGGGTGACAGTGCCCTGAGACTTGTGCTGAATGGGGAGCCGTGATCCATCTCAGCAGGATACACTGGTCATAGAACCTGGGGCAGTGCCCGCAATCTTTAGGGGTGTCTCATAGATTGAGCCACGTCGTTTAACATGGGATTATAGAGAAGGGTG